CCTGCTCTCTCTTCCTCTTCTCCCCCTGTCTTCTTCCCAGCTCCCACTCCCTCCCTCTTTCGCCATGTTCCCAATCTGTTCAGAAGATCTTGCCACATTCCTCTTCTTTGGGATAACAGGTTCTTTCCTGTTTCTCAGACTCTTCTGTTAGTGATACCAAGAACATACCTGAACATAATAAAAGCAATATACAGTAAAACAACTGCTAACATCAAACTAAATGGAGAGAAACTCACTGTAATTCCTCTAAAATCAGGAACAAGGCAAGGCTATCCAATCTCTCCATACCTCTTCAACATTGTACTTGAAGTTCTAGCTAGAGAAATAAGACAACAAAAGTAGCTCAGGTGGATATAAATAGGAAAAGAAGAAGTCAAGCTTTCACTATTTGTAGATGATATGATAGTTTACATAAGTAACCTGAAAAACTGCACAAGTGATCTCCTAGAGTGAATGAATACCTTCAACAATGTGGCAGGATACAAGGTTAACTAAAAAAACCAGTGGCCCTATTATATACAGATGATAAAGTAGCTGAGAAAGAAATCAGAGAAACATCACCCTTTTTAATAGCCATAAACAGCATCAAATATCTAGGTATAATGTTAACCAAAGAAGTGAATGATCTGTATATAAAGACCATTGAGTGTCTAAAGAAAGAAACCAAAAATAATTCAAGAAAAAGGAAAGATCTCCTATGCTCTTGTATTGGTAAGATCAACATAATAAAAATGGCAATTTTGCCAAAAGCATTCTACAGATTTAATGCAATTCCTATCAAAATTCCAACACAATTCTTCAAAGACATTGAAAGAACAATAATCAACTTCATATAGAAAAACAAAAGACCCAGGAGAGTCAAAACATCCCTATACAATAAAAGAACTTCAGGAGGCATCACCATACCTTACTTCAAGCAATGTTACAGATCTATAGTCCTGAAAACAGCTTGGTTTTGGCACAAAAATTGACAGGTAGACCAATGGAATGAAATGATATCTGTGATTTTAACCCACACACCTATGAACGATAGACGTTTGACAAAGAGGCTGAAATTATACAGTGGAAAAATGAAAGCATCTTCAACAGATGGTGATGGCATAACTGGATGTTCTGGATTCCAGTGCAGCAACTCCCCTTTCTCAGGGTGAGCTTTCAAGTGCAAAAACCATATTCCGGGGTGACAAACTCCAGTTAACAGGAAAAATTAGCCAGAAGTGGCACTATAGAAGCCAAAATTTTAGTATGTTTTGACCAAGGTGTGAACATTTAGAGTTTTTCTCAGAGCTATGAACTTTGATGCATTAAGCCTTTGTTTTACTTATTAGAGTTGTGTTTTTTTATTCAAGTGCTGGCATTTTACATTTAATGGTATTTCCATCATGGATACAGTTGTGCTTAGGCATGTGTCTATGCACCAGGAGACTGTTGTTTTGTCAGATCCAGAAGAGGCTGTTGGAAAACCTGGAAAGCTGGATTTACTGATGATGTCGGCTTCCCTGAGAATTGGAAGAAAGTCTTCAGGGGAGGTATCCAGCACCTTTTTAAAAGCTGAAGCTTTTCTCCATCCCATCACAGTTACTGTCTTAAAGATAACACAACAGCCCCTCAAGATTAGTCACTTCTCTAAAGCTTTGACAGTCTGAAATATTTTATCAGGAATTCAAGAAGTAATCATGATTTGTTTATTGCATATTCTTTCCTCCCTTCCTCTCTCCCTCCCTCCTTCCTTTCCTCCTTCCCTCTCTTCATCCTTTCCTCCTTTATTTCTTCCTTCCTGTTGATGAAACTTTCTATTCAGCCAGGTTCCACTGCCTTTCAGTCCAAAATAACTACACAGACACTATATTAATTATAAAACAGTTGTTCAATAGGTAAGGCTTCTTGCTGGCTTGCATTCTTTTAATATTATCTCATAACTAACAATCTATGTCTTTCTACATGGCCTTATCTTATCAGAGAATTCCTGGTGCATCCTATCTTTGCATCTCTTTGAGACCCTCTGTCTTCTTTCCCCACCCTTCCATGGTCTGTTTGCCCCATCTAAGCTTACTGCCTGGTTATTGGCCAAACAGTGTTTTATTCATCAAACAATAAGAGACACATCACCATCCTTCCTTCCTTCCATCCCTGCTTCGTTCGTTCATTCATTCATTCCTTCTGCCCTCCCTCTCTCTCTCCCTCCCCTTCCTACCTGTGTCCTTCCATCCTTCCTCCCACTTGCACCCTTCCTTCCTTCCTTCCTTCCTTCCTTTCTTTCTGTCTGTCTTTTTGTCTGTCTGTCTTTCTTTTTCTTTTCGACATTTTGTCTCTCTGCATGTCTGGCTCTCCTAGAGGATGCTCTATGAGCCAAGTTAGCCTCATACTCACAGAGCTGAGTCAGCCTCTGCCTTCAGACTACTCTGAACATAGTCTTGGGCTATCACTTCATGCCTGGCTCAGGAATTTCTATTTAATTACCTTAACCATACTGTTAGTCTTAAAAATGATATGTATAGGTAATGTTTAACGTTAGTTTAAAGAATATCAAGACTTAGTTATTATTGTTAAGAAAATTATAATTAGATCATCATCAATATATTATAAGTGCTACTAATTTGTGATACGGTCTCACTAGGCTGTATTGCTATCCTAGCATTCTTGATGTAGACTAAAATGTCCAGGCCAGCAGAACTTAAAAGTAATGGGAACAGGAAGCAAATTTTCCCACAGGGACCCACTAGGGGTTATAGTGAGTGGAACTATTCCCCTATCTAACCTAGTGCCAGGAACCATTATTCTTGGCTATGGAGAATCCAAATACTATATTTGGCAGTTATTCAAATCATATACTGCCTCCTGGAGAATCATGTGCTAGAATTATAGGCTGGTTCTACCTCAATGGCTCTGTCACTGTTTTCAAAATGCCATTACATCTTTTCTGTTATGCCAGCTGATTTAGGAAGTTGGTAAATGTTGTAATACCAGTGGACTCCATGGATGTTGTACCTCTCAGGTCGAGAATTTAGTTCCTTTGTCAGAAGACATACCGTGTGGAATATCATGAATGGTTGTCAAGGTAATTTTGGTAAAATCATTACATGCAGGAGAGGTAAATCCATAGCCAGAATAAGTGTCTACTCCAGTAAGGACAAAGTGTTGTCCCTTCCACAGAGGAAATGGTCTAATGTAGTCCTCCTGTCATGAAGTTGTTGACTGATCAGTCTAGGGAAATGGTGACATATCTGTGTCTCTGTGTTGGACTCGGCAGTTGGCAGATCTGGCATTAAGGAAAAGATCTAACCAGATAAGTCTTGATGGATGGATATGCATGTCATTTTGCCCATAAGTAACACCCATTTCAGCTACCATGCCTTTTTTGACTATGAGCCCATTCTGAATTACAAGGATGGCTTGGGAAAGAGGCTGACACTACACAGACTGCAATCGTATCTACTTGATACTGAACTGCTGAAGTCACCTTTGTTTTCTTTCTTTTTAAAACATTTTATTTATATTAAATAAGCTTATTTTACATAACAATCTCATCCACCCATTACCCCACCATCTTTCCATCACACCTTCATCTACTCCTCAGAGAGGGTGAGATATTGCCCTGGGGATCATCAGTGTCTGTCACATCATTTGGAGCAAGCCATCCCTCCTCCCTATATCTAGGATGAGAGAGAATCCCTCCAAAAGGAATGGGCTCCAAAATGCTAGCTCATAACTAGAGACAAATACTGGTTCCTCTCCCCTTGGCCCCAGAGACTTCCCAAGCCTCCCAGCTGACACCCACATTCAGGGGAAATAGGGCAGTCTCATAAAGGCTTCTTAGCTGATTTTCTGGAATCAGTGAGCTTCCACTTGCTCAGGTCAGCTGTTTCTGTGCCTTTCTCCTGCATAGCCTTGACTCCTTTGCTCCTCTAAAACTGGATTCCAGGAGTTTGGCTCAGCGCTTAGCTGAAAATCTCTACTTCTGCTTCCATCAGCTACTTGATAAAGGCTTTTAACATTTAACATAGTTATCAATCTCACTATAGGGGAAGGATGTTTAAGGTACCTTCTCCACTATTGCCTAGATTCTTATTTGGGTCTCATCCTTGTGGATTCCTGGCAATTTCCATAGTGCCAGTTTTCTCATTAAGCCCATAACAGCTCCCTCTATCAAGGTATCCTTGCTCTCCTCCTCTGTTATGGCACCCTTTGACGGGCATTTACACAGGACACAGGGGTCTACATGTTCTTTGTTCCTTTGCAGATCTGTCCAAATACTTCTCCTCACATGTCTTTCTAATTGTTTATATTTTTCTTTTTATTTATTTTTCTCACATGCAATACATCCTGATTATAGTCTCCCCTCCACAAAATCCACAGCTGGACAGACTAAAATGGGTTCATTCAAATAGAAACTCCACTGGAACCATAAACTGATTCAAAAGTTTTATTACTTTTATATTTGATTAAAATATTATCTGCAGATGTGGCCATGAGGATGTGAGGACAACCTCAGATTCTCTGAATCTCCAGTTTCAGGTGGTAGAAAAGTGCCCTGTGTGTCCTGGGAACTGAACAAGGGTCTTTTACAAGAGCAACATTTCCTTTTGCCAAAGTATGGGAGATAAAAATGTCTTCTTTCTTTTCTTCTCTTGTAAGCAAACATTCATGTTTGTTTTCTCCTTTGCTCTGAGCCCTTGATCATATATTCTGCTCAGTACAATCCAGACAGCTTCTGCCAATGAAACCCTAATGGGATGTGCTCAAGGCAAGCAAATGAAACTGAATCTCAGTTTTCAACACATTGGACAAAATTGAAACCAGTTAAGAAACAGGATAGAGGGTGGATATTGTACTACAGAGTCAGGCATCAGCAATTCCAGCTCATTTAATGCTATTAATACCTGAGCTTCCTGAGATTCACTGTGAAGTCTCCACGGAGCCCATAGTATACCTAGGTGTCCTTGGTAACAACACTGACTTCTACTGCAAGCAGACACCTCTAGGTCACAGCTGACTGGGACCTAGCATCTCTTCAAGCATTTGAGAGGAGGTTCCAGGACAGGACCCATGGTAAAAGCCATGCTAGGGCATGCTTCAGCCACCAAGTGAGGATATGAACCCACCATTGTCTTCCAGCCTGAGGTCTCAGAAACTTCAGAAGCATTTGCTCTAATGAAATTCAGTGCCTGGGTTTTCAGCTGTCCTGCACTGTGGAGGTCAGCCAGGAAGAGAGTGTGGGCAGCATTCTCCACAGAGAGGTCTTTGTAGAGGGCATGCTCACAAATGACCTTCAAACGCTCCAGGCCATACTTGTCAGCAGCTGCAAGCACAGAATCTGCCATGTTGTGGAGGTCTGGTGCCTTCCCGGTATAAATGAAGCCCATCATTGCCTTGAAGCCTCGAGGATCCAGATCATGTATCTCAACGCGGTTTGTTCTGCTCTCCTCCATGTCATGTTGAAACATGGCTCTGAAAACTGGAGAGCGAGCTGCTAAGATGGCCTTGTGAGCCCGGAATTCCTGGCCAGCTACGACCAGGAGGCAGTCTGTGAAGAGGGAATTCTCCCACAGTTTTCCTAGCTCATCTGCCATTGTACACCTTGGAACCTGGATCCCTGGATCCCTGTTCTGGTCACTGATGCTGAAGGAGTCTTGGAACAGTGTCACTTTGCAGAAGATGGTGAGCTTGTTTTGAGGGAGGAGGCAATGCACATGGTCTTTGATATAATCTATGAAGATGAACCTTTTGAATCCGCATTCATAGCCTGGCAGGAACTTAGAGGCTCTTCCAGTCCCCATTCCAAGGACTTTCTCCCCTTCAGTGCCTAAGATCCACAGCTGGAACTTTGCCCAAATATGAGTATTTAGACTGCTGAGCAACCCTATGTAAACTGACAAGTAATCTGCGCTTTCTTTGCCAACTCTCAAACACCATTTGTCATTGCCTCCTGTTGGAAATGTTGGACTTGTAATGCATTCCTGCATTTCCTCCAGGAATAAATGGAAGTCACTGATGGTCCATCTGCAGCATAAATTCTGTATGGTGATGCTTGTGTAGTTCAAACCCTCAACAATCCTGTCCTCTGACATTTCTGCTGGAGGTAGTTTGAAGTTTAAACTGGATCCAAACAAAGAACTGGGATTTATTTTTTCTTCACCCTGTGGCACACAATAATAGATATGATTTAGAGTTTGAGGTTATGTTTTTATGTGTTAAGGCTTCTATGATGCTGGAACTTGGATGTATCTGATATTTTCAATGCAGATTTCAAGATGAGTTTCACAAAACACAGTCAAGTCTACTCGGGAATTTTAGATAATTTGATTTTGTAGATTGAAACTTACTCCAGTAGGCGACTTGTTTTGAGAAGTATATACAAATTTGAAGTGTTTAGAGCATTTTGTACACTCCTAAGAAAAATGAGGAGAACATGGGGTAGCAGGAAGGTTGAGTTGTGGGAAGAAGTGAGAAGAGCCAGAAGAGTGATACCATAATAGAGGGAGTCATTTTACGTTTGAAGAGAGATATGGCACTAGTGAGATTTCCAGTGGTCTACAAGGATAACGCCAACTAGCAAACTAAGCAATAGTGAAGAAACTACCTTAAATGCCCCGCCCATATAATGAGTTTCAGACTGCCTTATATGCTATCCTAGAAACTCCATCCAATAACAAATGGAAGTAGAGGCAGACAGCCACAGCTAAACACTGAACTGAACTCCTGGAACCCAGTGACAGAGAGGGAGGAGTGATGAGCAAAGGGGTCAAGACTGGAATGGTGAAATCCAGAAAAACAGCTGACATGAACAAGGGGGAGATCTTGGGCCCCAGATTCAGGGCAGAGAGGCCAGAATTGGACTGATCCAGACCCCCTTAATGTGGGTGTCAGTGAGGAGGCCTAGGCAACCTAGGGGGCTTTGGGTAGTAGATCAATATTTATACCTGGCACACAAATGGACTCTGCATGCCCGTTCCATAATGAGGGATGCCCTCTCAGCCTGTACACTTGGGGGAGGACCTAGGCCCAGCCCTGAATGAAATGACAGACTCTGGTAATCCCACATTGATAGCCTCACCCAACCTGGAGAATGGAATGGGGATTATGTGGGAGGTTAGGGGACAAGGGAGGAGGGGAAAGAGAGGGAGCTGGGATTGACATGTGAAGCATGCTTGTTTCTAATTTAAATAAAAAACGTTAAATATAAAATGAAAAAATGTCTACTAGGAATCTCTAGAATAACAGAACATGTAGAATGAGTCTCTCCATATATGAAGAAATGGGATTCATTCGAATCACTTAGGCTGCTGTCCTTCTTAGCCCATAGTGGCTAGCTATGAAGGGGAAGTCCATGAATCCAGTACTTACTCAATCCAAGATGTTGGACTTGTCTGCTGGTCTTCAATAAATGCAGGGATTCAAAGAAGAATTCTGTAATGGCAGTGACCAGATGTATTTGCTACAAGGTGTCCAAGCAGGCAGAGTGCAAAAGCCACATTCTTCCATATTCCTTTATATGCTTCCAGCAGAAGGTGTGTCCCAACTTAGGGTGTGTCTCCTAGCCTGAGATATGGATTAAAGGTGTGTTTCCTCCTGTCTGTTGATCTTGATCAAATGCTCTGTCTTCTACCTGAAAAGTCAGTATTTCAAGAGTGGATCTACCTACTCCAAATTTGCAAAATATTTCTCACAGTTGTGCCCTGCATTTTAGAATTTTTGTTAATTCTAGCTGTGGCCTAGCTGGTAACCAAGTGTACCCATCACAATTGAAACTTGTTTGCCTGAGATAATTTTCCATAAATCAAGAAAAGCTTTCCATTCCTACAGAGTTGTTATTTACTCTTCTCATGTTGTTAATTATTTCTACCACCCTGCTGTGGTGGCACACACCTTTAATCCCAGCACTTGGGAGGCAGAAGCAGGCAGATCTCTTTGAGTTCAGGGCCGGTCTGTTATAAAGAGTTATTTCCAGGACATCCAGGTATATTAAGCAGAAAAACCCTGTCTCTGAAAAAAAGAGTATTCTTTCCATGAATATGATCCAGGAAGAGATACTTTTCTTCACTCAGGAGACTCAGTGTTCCCAATATGGAGGTTAGGATGGAAGAATCCTTGTATGGTGGGCATTAAACAGAACCAGGCAGTGCCCTTTGAAAATGGCTGCCTTTTTCTTCCTTTTCATTCCATCGATACTTACAGTCCCAGGAACAGCTCCAGGAAATTCCATTGGTGATCTTGGCCCTTCACCTCAATTGATCCTCCTTTAACACACTCTCCCTGATCCATTTCCTGGTGTGCTATGAGAAGATACTAAAGACCTCTCACTCAATCATGCTGACTCCCAAGTTTCTGCTTCTCATTACCTCTTAATTTTCATCATTCACTGGTGAGTTCTCTCCTCTTCAATCTTTGAAAGTCCAGGTTTACTCTGCTGGGCTTAAAATTGTAAGAGCATTCTGGTTTTCAAAGGCTTCAAAATATATTGAAAAGTTACTGACGAGTATCTATCTTCCAATGTGTAGTCTTGAAATTAGAAAGTGTGATACCTTCAAATGAATAATTTCTGGGATAGGATAAATAACAACCTGACCCTGAACCCACCTGGTGAAGAATCCCCTATGCTACTAAGTGACCACCTGCAATAAGTCTAGCAATGGAAACAAACGGAAAAAAATCCAACAATCCAAATCAATTGATTGATTTATTATCAAATAACAGATAAGTGATATTGCAGCCAGTCTTATAGGAGATTCAGACTGTGAATGGTTGAGCTGATTGAATCAATGAACTTATTTCTGTGTGGTCTATGCTTAGAGAGTCTTTCCAAGATAGGACAAAGTGGAGACAGAGGACAAGTAGGGAGAATTTTCCCATCACATATAACAGCAAGCTCCGACTTCTTCCAGGACATTTAGGGCTTCTGATGTCCTTATGCCACCGAGATAATTAGGAAATAACAATATTAGAAGGGTTTAATAATCAATATAACCAAGAAGACATTTGAATGCTCATCCAATAAGGAGGTTATAATGTTTATTGCATTTGGGTAGGAAGAGTGCCACATTATCCAATGATTAAACATAAAGGAAGAATACAACAGCCTAATACAGGTATGTGACACAGGCACAGACAGATCAGGAATGAGGACATGTATCAAAACTTAAGGAAAAGAGACAAAATGGGAAGTACTCTTATGATTGAAGGAGAGTAAAGACCACCAACCCAAATATTTTGAGTCAAAATATGTAAGGTTTATTTTCTGCCATAATGGTTTCTTTTAACCTAATCTAGGGTTTGAGAGACAACCCAGGAATAATAGGATAATTGGAGTTTTTATAACCCCCAAATGCTAAGCTAAGGGTTTACCACAGGTTGTGGCTATTCCAGGGGAAATCATTAGGTCCAAGAGCTAATGATGAACAGAAATACTGTTTGAGACTGTGCCTGATGGGGTTAATGAAAAAAGCAAAGATTACCTATCAGTTTATTTGGTGTTGCTCAGATATCCAAAGAGTTATTTTTGGGCAAAGACCCTGACTGCAGTAAACTCATGGAGCAAGATGTATCCCTAGGCAGTAGTCAGGTACCATGTGTCACCCTATACCTGGATGGCAGCACTGGTCCCTTTTGTTTCTCTTAAGTTTAAATTAGGTATTCATTGATTGTCTCTTATTTAGTTTAGATAAGGATTTGTCAATCTTACTGATTTGTCTCAATGAACCAACTCTTTGTTTTATTGATTCTTGGTACTGCTCTCTTGGTGTTTTATTTATTTCAGCTGCTCCACTTGTGTGTGCTTGCATTTTTTTCATTCAAGTGTTTTCAAGTGTGCTGTTCAGTTCCTAGTATGATATCTCTCCAATGTATTTATAGAAGAACTTCCTGGTATGAACTTTCCTATTAACACCTCTTTCTTTCAAGTCCCATAAGTTTGGATTTTTTAATTTATTTTGATTAAATTCTAGGAAGTCTTTAATTTCTTTCTTCATTTCTGTCTTGGCAAAAGAGTCATTCAGTAGTGAGTAATTTAGCTTCCATCAGTTTGTTTGCTTTCTCTTGTTGAAACATAGCTTTATCAGTTGTTGTTTGTCAACATGCAGGGAGTTATTTTACTTTTCTTGGAGGTGTTAAGACTGGCTTTGTAAAAATACATGTTCAGCTTTGGAGAATGATCTGTGAATGGCTGAAGAAAGGTTTAATCTTTTGTGTTTGAGGGAAATGTTATGTAGATATTGGTTATGTACGTTATTTTTCTATGTAGTTTTTGAGTGGATGATCTGTCTTTTTAAGATTAGAGTATTGATGACTCCAAGTAAACCAACAGCCAACATCAAACTAAATGGAAAGAAACTCAATGCAATTCCTCTAAAATCAGGAAGAAAACAAGGCTGTCCACTCTCTCCATACCTTTTCAACATGGTACTTGAAGTTCTAGCTATTGCCATACGACAACAAAGGGCGATCAAGGGGATACAAATTGGGAAGGAAGAGGTCAAACTTTCACTGTTTGCAGATGATATGATAGTTTACATCAATGACCCAAAGACCTCTACCAGGGAACTCTTACAGCTGATTAACACCTTCAGCAAAGTGGCAGGCTACAAGATCAACTCAAGAAAATCAGTAGCCCTACTATATACAGATGATAACAGGGCTGAAAGAGAAATCAGAGAAACATCACCCTTTACAATTGCCACAAACAACATAAAATACCTTGGGGTAACGCTAACCAAACAAGTGAAAGACCTGTATCATAAGAACTTTGAATCTTTAAAGAAAGAAATTAAAGAAGCCCTCAGAAAATGGAAAGATCTCCCATGCTCTTGGATAGGTAGGATCAATGTAGTAAAGATGGCAATCCTGCCAAAAGCAATCTACAGATTCAATGCAATCCCCATTAAAATCCCAGCACAATTCTTCACAGACCTTGAAAGAACAATAATGAATTTTGTATGGAAAAACAAAAGACCCAGGATAGCCAAAACAACCCTGTTCAACAAGGCAACGTCTGGAGGCATCACCAGCCCTGACATCAAGCTCTATTATAGAGCTATAGTCCTAAAAACAGCTTGGTATTGGCACAAAAATAGAC